CTCTCTCTCTCTCTCTACTATATATATACACTATATATATCTATATATATAGTATATATATATATTATTATTATATATATATATATATATATATATATATATACATAGTGAATATATATATATATGTGTGTGTGTGTGTGTGTGTGTGTATTTATATATATATTCAATATTGTTCTCGCCGTCTATTTGGTCTGGCTGCAAATACAGGACTCGCGACTGGCCCTCGAACGGTACCTTCACTACTTCAACCGCTACCAAAACCACGAGAACTCGTTAGCGATGGAATCTTCTCTAGTCAAGACAGTGAAAGAGAAGATATTGCTTCTACAGACCTTCAAGATGTCTTGGATTGAAGCTCAATTCTTGGAAAAAGCAAAAGACATCCTCCGAGCATGTCGAACCACCATGAAATACACATACGTCTTTGCCTTCTATCTCCAGAAGTGTCATCAACAGGATATATTTGAGGATAATCAAAAGGTTCGTCTACTCCGCCTGGTCCCTCACGCCCGATGTATGCATGGTCAATACATACACCCGATGTATGCATGGTCAATACACACACCCGATGTATGCATGGTCAATACACACACCCGATGTATGCATGGTCAATACACACACCTGATGTATGCATGGTCAATACACACGCCCGATGTATGCATGGTCAATACACACATGTATGTGTTGCCATTGAAGTTCATCTTTGTTGCTGCCTCGTCAAAGAACAGTTTTGTCTGCTCGCCAATGTACGAAGCTTTTGTCACACCTGTGTCTGGGGTCCATTTTGCATTGGTGGCATCAGGTATCCTCTTGAGTGCTGTGTACACGTTTCCCTTGTTCATAAGATGTTTTTTTTTATCCGGAGTTGTTGCAGCGTATTGTGTAATATCTATCAGTATCTCTCTCTGCGTGTGTGTCTGGGGGGGTACTCTGTTAAACTCTATCCGTATGCTAAGACTGCTTACAAACAACTGCAAACACCGCACAAGTTGTGAGTCGCCTGTGCACGCACGGGCTATGGCCTGCGAATCAGTGTCCTCTGGTCTGATCCATCATAGTTCTGACACCATAACACGTGATTTTTGTATTTCAATCACATGCATCGATGTATAGCGGTATTACTGTGTAACTGTATGAATACATAGCTGTGTATCAATGTATAACTGCACCATTGTATAATTTTATTAATGTATAACTGCAATAATGTATAATTGTATTCGTATATCACTGTATTAATGTATATCTGTATTAATGTATAGCTATACTAATGTAATACTGAATTAATGTATAACTGCATTAATGTATATTGATATTAATGTATTACTGCATTAATGTATAACTGTATTTATGTATTTCTGTATTAATATATAGCTATACCAATGTATTACTGCATTAATGTATATCTGTATTAATGTACAACTGCATTAGTGTATAACTATATTGATATATCACTGTATCAATGTATAACATTTTGGTTTAATGTATAACTGTATGAATTTATATCCACCAATGTATGATTATATTAATATATTACTGTATTTATGTATAACTGTAGTCATTTGTATCTGCATTATTGCATTACTGCATTAATGGATATCTACATCATCGTATAACTTCCTTAGTGTATTACTGTATTAATGTATAACTGCATTTTTGTATAACTATTAATGCATAGCTGCATTAGTGTATTACTGTATTAATGTATAACTACATTAATGTATTGCTGTATTAATGTATAACTGCATCAATGCATAACTGTGTTAATGTATAACCGCATTAATGTATTCCTGTATCAATATATAGCTACATCATTATATAACGGCAGTACTGTACAACCGTATTAATCCATAATATATTAACGTATACCTGCATTAACGTATACCTGTATTAATGTATATCTGCATTAATGTATACCTGTGTTAATGCATAACTGTATGGTCCATCACAGAATCTTGAGTTCGTTGTGGAGTCGCTGTCGGGTCTATTGGAGAAAGTGATGCCGCTCAATCAAACCGAAGCAGACGTGCAGAAGTTTAAGCAAGAGGTGTGTTGCACATCCATGCATAAAGCGCGCAGTAGCTAGCTATACATATCTCGTGAACCCCTACCACTCTATCGTCCCCATACCCATGCCATTAATTCAGGAGCGTCTCATGGGGTCGGCGGTGGCGTATGCGGTCATGTGTAGGTCTGAAGTTAGTCCCATATCTCTCCTTGATGTATTGCCGCGCTCTGGCAACCTCACTGCCCGCTTTCCAAAGATGAATGTTTGTGCATGCATGTGTTCAAGGACCGTGTACCTCTATGCATGTACACTTGAAACTGATATCATCTGGGCTTGCCCCTTCTGCACTGTCTCACAGGTTTTAGACAAAGGCTCCTACTGCGAAAGCCGGCGGCAAAAGTTACTCGACCACGTGCAAATGGGCTGGGATGAAAATCTTTGGGAGTTCAAGAACTAATCAGTTGTTCGGAAATAAATTTAGTTATACATTTTGTATATACCGAGTACAGTACATACGATTGAGAGGTCCGCATGCAAGTTTCAAGCGTGTTGTACACACTCATAGCATCGAGAGCCATGCCTGTTGTGCTACGGAAACTGCTGAACTTAATGCGCTTTCGCATTCATTTGGCGTGCGGTGTACTTCGCATACGTGATGATAAACGTTCATTTTAGTAACACCAGGTCGTTAACACAGTCAGTCCTCGTGGTCAACCCCACCACCACCACCACCACGTTTGTGATTCAATGCAACAACACAAGGGTATAATTCGCGAAGCATCGACGTTGCAACGAACAATAAAACGCGTCCGTTTATTTGCATACTATACTACTATTTGGTGCAAGACCTAGTACATACGATGAATAAGCTCTTGCCTTAAACTAATTTCGTCACAAGTAGTACTCAGCACAATCCATCCATCCATCCTACTCGTCGAAGAAGTTGGATATATTCCATTCGTACACCGGCCTTGAGTTTGCCGGGTTTGAATTGGCCCAGACCTTCACATTGCCGGTGGCTGCGTCCAACAAGTAGGTGACCAGTGTGGTGGGAGTGTAAATGGGGTAGTGCTTCTCCTCCGTATCTCCAAGCCGTGCGACGATATCGTGGCCATTGCGACTGGTGGTAAGGCATCGCTGCGCAGTTGTCTCCAGTCAGTGGACTTTGTGCGCTGCTCCCCTTTCACGGAGGGCACCTGGGGAAGTATAAGGTAGTGTGAGAACAGAAGGGGAGGCGGTTGAGATTCTTTACTTGGATCTGAACGGTCAGTTAGTACTGAGATGGCGTAGAAATCCGCTGGCTATAACTACCAAGGTAAATAGAAAAACTTGAAATAAAACCAAAATCAAATCTCATTCTGTATATGTCAGCAACAATGCATAAACTAATACTTCATCCATCATGACTTAATAGAATGCCATAGATACTGCATGCCCTGTGACCAGAGAGGCAAATCACGTGTGTGGATGGCCCAATTGTGGCGACACATTCACATTCGTGGTGTCTAATGTGACCACAGTACATTTGCATTCGGTGTGTGTATGGCCCATAAATAGTACATTTGCCTTCGGTGTGTGTATGCCCATAAATAGTACATTTGCATTCTGCGTGTGTATGCCCATATATAGTACATTTGCATTTGGTGTGTGTATGCCCATAAATAGTACATTTGCATTCGATGTGTGTATGGCCGCCCAAACAATCGTCGGCCCTTGTTTGATGTGATATGTAGCACTCGCCCCTACGACTGACACGGTGGCGCAGTCGATTGCAAGGGTGTCTCTTGCCGCTTCAAAATTATCCACTTCCATACTCCAAGCCATCACCAAACTGAAGTAACACACATAGCATGCAAGCTCTGCCTTACCTTCAAGTGTTTGTAGTCGTTGAAGTGTGACTTATTCTTGTTAAGTATTTGAACGCTGCTAGAGTCCTCCCATACCTCGATGTTGCCCGCAAGGTTCTCCTTGCACGACACTACGTTCAAGCTGTGGAGTAATCGGCAAATTTGTATATATATACATTGGTACTATCATTTTGCATGCACCAGGGTGCGAATTCAACAATCTTATGTTAGAGAGGGGCCTGCTGTGGCGTGTGGTGAGCATTCACCGGAAATCCTAACCTGCATCTTATCATACAAAATACAACGCACCCCCAAAGATATGAGGAAAGTCACTCTGCAAGAAAAGCTTCTAAAGCTGAATCTAGTAGATCTACACAGCACACATGGAAGATCTGAGAAACCCACACAGTGATAAAAGCTGTGTGAGACTAGATCCAGACTTACTTGTAGCCCATGATCTGGCCGGGTGTCTCTAAGGCCTTGACACATTCCTCGAAAGTGTTTGACAGCATTACCGATCACCATTCCCGGATAACACAGCCCTGCCACTGGCAGTCTACCGGATTCCTTTGTGAAATGATACGCTACGAAGTATACGTAAGGACGCACATCGTTGCTCCAGTCCTCGTTGTGGCCTGTACGTGTCCAAATCAAAATTAATCGGGTCAGCATAGAGGGTGCATATTACACTTTGGGCGCGTGTGGTTGGTAATAATGCAATCGTCTCCAGATCTCTTCTACTGACACCAGATTCGTTATTCTGAATATAGTATGAGTTGGCTACAAATGCATGTGAGCCCAGAGCTTCACTGCACTTGCACACAAGCATTTTCAGCAAAGCTTTTGAGTACCCAGAACATATAGATATATGCATACATGCATGTATACATTCAGAATGTATACATAACCCAGAATATATACCGTGAGCAATCTTGCCGTCATCCTCACTCATAAAGTCGCTGCAGTGCTCGTACTTGGTGCCGTCCACCTTGGCACTGTTGTTGTCTTGGTGCGCTAGATTGTTCAGCTCTTGCAATAGATTAATCATCCAGATATATTTCATTGGTACTCGTGCGCCGTCGGATATTCCTCTCATTCCTTCGACATATTGAGGATACACTCTGGTACTAACAGCCACCATTCTCTTGAAAGCTACACGGCCTAACTCTGAGTTTTCGATGAACTTCAAAAGGTCTATATTTTCCTTCACCTGTAAATGTAGTATGTGGGTGACTGTTGATAGTACCGCCATATTTAGCATTGTCAGTTGCGTAGCTAATGGTTAGATATTTCACTTGTGCGTAAGCAACTACGGATGAAAGTAGTTGAAAGCCCACAAGATACACACCACGCATCCACAAGTGACGATAGCATGAACAATATGTTTATATTACATAACAATGGGTACATTAGTAATTGATAATATGCGCAAACAAGAGCAGATTATATCCTATCTCATAGGTAACTAGAATAAAAATTTGTCACCGTTATTGTACCCACAAAAAATGCACACATATACACACACATATATATATATATATACATATGTATATATACGTGTGTGTGTGTGCGTGTGTGTGTGCGTGTATATATATATATATATATATATATAATTTTGAGGATGATCATCCACGAATACATTAACTTGATAAAATATACAGCAACCTCATATATGCAACTATGTCCCGAAAGTAAACTCAAAATACAACCATAGTTGGGCTGCACGGACATGAGAAGATAACATTATATCATATTTACTGTCTTTCTAAATTTTAATAGTTGTTAACTTCTATCCGGGACATGCTTGTATAGTATTTATCTAGCAGTTGAGGTTCCGTGACTATTTTGCGACAGTCGTCTGCAATTATATATAATTACCGTAAATATGTAGTCAGCAATTAGGCTCTGTGCTTTTTTCCCGTGATCATAGCCAGCCTGATAGAGATCATTGACCTTTCTCACGTGGAATAAAGGTGGAGCCTTAAGATTTTCCTTCTGTTCCCTTGTTTGGGGTAAACGGACAGCGTTCGCGTCACATACTGCACTAAGTGCTAGTAATGCAGCGATAGTAGTCAGAGCTATTCTGATCATACTCAATTGGCCGTTCGCTGTGATCTCGTGAGCTGCTACGGATATATTGAACAGAATAGGGTGCACCCAAATCGAAGAAGCGTGTTTATTTATATGTTCACAACACTTGTCTTCTCATTATAGTCAGTCTCTAGCGAATACATCCGAAGAAATTGCATTCGATGATAAATGATCAATCACAATTCAAAAAAAAAAACTCTTTATTTGGGAATTTAAAGTCAGTAAGCGCGCTTGACGATTTGACACTTGAAGAGTTGAGTCTTGACACTCGACAGAGGTCAGACTGACAGTGCCAGAGTGCTGTATCACTGTCAGTGGCACATATTTATTGTTTTTTCTATATAAAAATTTGGAGAAATAATAATAAAAAAGCAACAAAAATAATCTTTGTTTGACCCGCGTGTAAAATTCGACCAATGTATTATTGTTATTTATTAATAAAAATAAATCAAACATAAAAGAAGCAAAAAAACACTAAACCAAAATTTAAAAAAAGGAATTGCGCAATGCGTACACTGATGTTTCGAGTAATTATCACATTTTTTAACTACTCCATGGCATGTAAATCATTGTCCGTAGCAATACATCTACTATTTATATGCCCGGTGCCGTATGCGGTAAATATGCGGGTTGCGGGCCTGCGGCTGTGCTAGCTAGACTACTAGGCAGTATGCAGGAAAAAATATATCATTCATAATGAGATTTGTTAAGACTGCGACCACTATGCCTGCGACTCTCGATTGCGACCACTATGCCTGCGACTCTCGACTGCGACCACTATGCCTGCGACTCTCGACTGCGACCACTATGCCTGCGACTCTCGACTGCGACTACTATGCCTGCGACTCTCGACTGCGACAATTATGTCTGACGCTGTCGCCTGCGACCTGACGCTGTGAACCATATGCCTGCCATTAACATATTATCTATAAATAAATAAATAAAAACAACTTGCAGTGCCATTTTATTAATAAAACCAATGTAGAAAATATAGATAAATAAAAACATGCTGTACTATAATAGTTTTAAAAATAAAACCATGACGCGAGTTACAAAATTATTATTGCTGATATGTATGTGTTTTATGCGGCTTTATGCCAGCCATACATTAGAAGTTGGGAGATTGTCGCTGAGACATTGACATACGCACAATTGTATTACTATATCTATGACTGAAAAGGAGGCATGTGATACACACAATACACGGTCAAGGAAAGCTACACAAAATTACAAATACAGCTTTTAGACCCCAACTAAAGTTGTATCGTCGGATCGTGTCATTATTTGCATAAATTGACAGTAATTGATTATAATAGTTAGTGTATATAGTTTGGGAATCATGAAGTGTACACTGATATCATCTCTTAGGAATCCCAAAGAGATATTAGCTACCTTATTACGATATTACGATATAATTGTGCACGATGGACTCTACAAGCAAAATTTCCACGTAGTCTCTTGTCAATACTATCTCGATTCTACTTTTGAGGAGACACAATCTCGGTTGCTCCGATAAAGCACAACAATTAAAAATGTTGCGGGTGTGCGGTGGTCGATAGATAGAATGGACGAGTTCGTCGCTATACTAGCAGCCGGTATTACTTTATCCACGTATACTACATCCCGAATTGGCGCTACATGGTTTCACAGAAGGAGATAGAGAGTGGAAATCAGGATATGGACGAAAAGGTCTGAACCTACCACAAGTAAGTGTTGCGTATTATTTTTGCGTCTTATTCTTGCGACTATTTTTGCGTCTTATTTTGTGTGACTATTGCATGCGTCTTATTTATGCGACTATTGCATGCGTCTTATTTTTTGCTTATTTATGCGACTATTGGATACGTTTTATTTATGCGACTATTGCATACATCTTATTTTTCACGACTATTGCGTGCGTCTTATTTATGCGACTATTGCATGCGTCTTATTTATGTGACTATTGCATGCGTCTTAATTTTTGTGATTTTTGCATACTTCCTTTTTTTGTGACTATTGCATGCGTCTTATTTTTTGCGACTATTGCATGCATCTTATTTATGGGACTATTGCATGCGTCTTACTTTTGCGACTATTGCAATGCGTCTTATTTATGCGACTATTGCATACGTCTTATTTTTACGACTATTGCATGCGTCCTATTTATGTGACTATTGCACGCGTCTTATTTATGCGACTATTGCATGCGTCCTATTTTTTGTGATGCTTGCGTCTTA